TATATATATATATATAGGTAATGCATCGCGTCAGTTGAAATTACGAATCAGTGAACACAAATCAAGTATACATCGACAAGACATAACTTCTTCAGTAGCCAGACATTTTAATGAATTGGGACATGACATCAAACAATTGGAATGTATAGGTATAGAGGAAGTTATTGGATCACGCAGAGGAGGTAATATAAATAAAGAATTATTGAAACGAGAAGCATTTTGGATCTATAAACTTAAATCACTTTCTCCAAATGGCATGAATGAGGAGTTGGATCTCTCTGTGTTCCTTTAATAATCGGTCGAATCAATATGTGATATTTTGTGGAGTTGATCTCAACCATTCAGTGTGAAAATAAGTGATTATTAATGACGATGTATGCCTGATGATTTTAATCATTGAATTTTCCATTGTTATAAGTATATACTGTTGATGGTTTATTTTAGCTGCTAGTTTATACAAGAATGATAACAATGAAATCCGAGGTAATTTACGTTTGAATAAGAGGTATATTGTAGTGCAGTGGTGGTTATGATAATGGGTAAGATATTTAAATGCAAGTTGTTTAATATTGAAATGGAATACATAAGCTTTAAATGAATGAACATTGGTAAATGAACGATGACGTCAAATTGGTGATTTAAAAAGTGGGTGGAGGATTTGTATTGTTTAACACACTGAAGAAGGCCTTTGAGCCGAAACGTCTGTGTCCTTGTCCTATTGGTGATAAATGTAGAATAAAACAAAAAGAAAAGACTGCTTCATGTGAGTGCGGATCATGGTTTTGTACTATAAGTGAATGTATGTGATCAAAATGAAATAAATGTAATATTACATTTAAAATAGTGTTTTTCTATTTAAGATATTTTAAAATGTTGCTTATTTCTGTGGTCAAAGCTGGGTTTTCAGCATCATTACTCCAGTCTTAACTTCAACTCTGTCAGCCTGAATCTAGAAAGATCTTTCAGCTGCATAATCTGGACAAACATTATTATGTTAGTTAGTTATGTTATTAATTAAAAATAATATGCCCAGTGTTTGACCACAGAGCTCTTAAGGCTGTTGGTGATTGTTTGAGATTGTTGTTAATTTAAATTAATGTTAACTTTGTCATTTTTATTGAATGATCTTTCTGGTTCAGGCCCTGATGAGTTTAAGAAAACCACTGTAAATCTCACTGTGAAAAGACAGTAAATTCAGAAGAGAAATAAACAATCAGCCATTAAAAGTACATGTGTTGGTGAAATCATCAGAGAAAAGATTCATCAGAATCATCATTTAATCTTGGTCTAGATTCATTTTTATGTGGGAACAGTGTGATATTGTGTGATTTCAAACAAAAAAATAGCATTAATTTAACATTTATTTATTTACAATAAATATTTTCTGTATTGTTTGAAGTGTGAAGATAAATAAGCACATAAATAAGCAGCTGTATTGCCATTAGCCAGTAACACTCGTCACAGAAGGCCTGCATAATTATACACCTTACAGATCATATCACATAACACTTGTTTGTTCCTGAGCTTTGATTAAACTCCTGTGCTTAGATCTATATCTCTGCCTGCCTTCTCTCGCTTCTGCAACGTTATACAGCCAATACACTAGTAGGCCTAATATGCATTCTAATAAGCAACTAGTTAATAGTGAGAGCTGTTCCCTAAACTAAAGTGTTACCCTTGTGGGTGAGATTGCATTTTAAAAATAATTTTAGAGAGAAGCCCAGTATCAGATGTCACCTTTCACTGATGAAAGTCGTTTGACGCTTTGAAATGGACAAAGCCTTTTCTATAAAGAAAGTGTTTAAATGGTTAATCATGAATCTGATTTTTCATCCAGCATCAGATTTGAACAGAACATGTGACTTTTGCACCATTGTGATTCTCAGCTAGGACTGCATATTATTTTTTTTAATAGTGCTGTCAATCGATAAAAATAAAAAATAAAACAAATTAATTGCACATTTGTCCTGAAATGAATTGTAATTAATCCCACCTAACATTAAAGTTTTTAAATATGCATTGATATTGCAATAATTTCACATGCAATCTTCACATTAATGTAGAAGCAACATAAAGACAGTAGATTTTTAAAAAAATATTTGTTTAATGGCATCTTTTCTTTTTAATGACAGGTAGGTCAGTATCACTGATTCCACTACTGATGTCTCTATGAACTTGACTTTTCCCCCCTAATGTTTAACCTTTGACTATAGACATTCAAAATTACAGTATAATTGAGGGCTATCAATTTTAACATTTATTAGACTTTAAAAATGACAACTAATTTAAGTGAACTTAAATGAATCATCACATAAACCCATTATAATAAATGTCATACTTACCTGTACCCTTCAGCAAGCAGAAAATATACAGAAATTGAATAAAGTTATCAAACACTAAATGCTAACTTAAATATAGATGAAACCTTAAAGCTATAAAAGTTATTGATTTCCTCATTTTTCTTTTGTTCTTTGATGAACAGACATCACAGCTGCTGCTGAATGTGATGCGGATCTAACACGCATTCTTAATGTGTGACTTATATAGACTATAACAAATACTTACATACATGCACAGTTTTAAGGCAGCTTTAATCGACTACATAACTACGACATTGCATGCACAAAGTTTATTTCGCGCTGTAATATGAAAATATAAATCCAGCGCGTCACTGCATGTGTGCACTACGAGCACAGTAGAACAGAAAAAAGAGACCGAAGCAGCAGTTGTGAGTGGAGTGGCCAACCCTAGCCCCGCCCCTGTGTTAACTGCGATAAATATTTTTAACAGCGTTAAACTGAAAAAATTAATTGCATGCGCTAACGCGCTGATTTTGACAGCACTATTTTTTTGAATAAAAATATTTTTGTAAATTTTCAGCAAATTTGTTGAACTATTTTTTTCGTTGACTGATATCAGGATCACATGAATGAGGTCATGATTTCTTCATAACAGATGATCAGCACAGATTCTTTACATTAGTGAAATGTGTTCAGAGTAACAGGGTGTGTCATGTGTAAGTTTCACTTTATAGGAAACAGAAACACTCAGCGTATCTGAGGCCTCTGGAGAAACATGAGAACACTAGTACAGTTTAAACAAATAGAGAAACACACAGAGGGACGGCTCATGTATTGGTGTGTTCGATGACATATTAATGGCATCACTGGATCTTATGTTTCAGTTTCATAGGTTTGTGTTCAGAAGAAAGTTAGCTGGACTTTGAATAGGGGAGATACAGTACTATTTGTGCTGATCAGGGTTGTGAAATCAGTGACACATATGACACGTCAGATTTTTCTTACCCTTGGCAGGCGTATGATTTTCTGTCTTCATTCACTAAACTGAAATGCCACACCTTAAAGGGATGGGCAAAATCGGACTATAAATTAGTTTGTCAGCTTTGAGACAAACACATGATCCACCAAACCGCTGGCTTTAAGGAAGAAAAGATCCAAAAATCTAACTTCAAGTGCTGGGGCAGGAGGACTAACACGATAAATCTGACAGACTGTAAGAGTCCATTGGCTGAGAGCGACCGGCATACAGAACACCTCCATCTAACTGGACGTGTCTTTCAGAGTCTCTTGGGTCCTCCTGTCCCAGGGATTTCTGAGGGAAGAGCCATGGTGAGCTTGAATGAGTTTAGGATTGTATTACTTCTACATTTTAAACAGCATAATAATGATTGATGTTTGAGGTTTGCATTACTTTAAAAAATCATGCGAACAGTTGATGCTGGTTTGTCTTTTCTGTTATAGATTAAAAAATTGCTACTTAGATTCAGAAGGTAAGATGGTACACGATACACACAGACTCCGTTCACCTTCACTGCTTTAAATTCAGGACATTCTGTGACTTTTTTTGAACATACTGTGCACTTTCTGCATTACTTTAAAAAATCATGCGAACAGTTGATGCTGGTTTGTCTTTTCTGTTATAGATTAAAAAATTGCTACTTAGATTCAGAAGGTAAGATGGTACACGATACACACAGACTCCGTTCACCTTCACTGCTTTATTAAATTCAGGACGTTCTGTGACTTTTTTTGAACATACTGTGCACTTTCATTTGGAGCTCTTTCAAAACTCAACTTTTTGATTTGAAATGAACACATTTGTTAGGGCTTTCTCAATTTAAAGAAAAAAAAAGCTGTAGTCTGGTACCATTTGCACCATAATTCAAGTGTGACAACGCATCTGGAGCAACATGTCTGACCAAGAAAACATCCAAAGTCTTCACTGTTTCACAAGTAGTAAGAGTAGTGTGCTATTCAGAATTCAGCTAAAGTCAAATGTTATCAGTTGATGGTGTATTAGAGTAAAATAAATGTGGGGGGCGAAGGTAAACCACTGATAGAGGAATATATAGTATAGTTACATAAACAATTACACAATATGTTCAGCCTGACGATCTGAGTTTAAAGGATGAAATAACATGATCAGCAAACGAATAGCTTAACCTGGAACTATTAGATGTACAACATGAATGTGAAATCCCATGGGCTCTGTACAGTTATTAACTGTGTTAAGTGAATGAGCTCATCTACAGTCATTGGTGTGTTTATACATTTGTTTTCACTCTGAATGTTTCGTCAGGTTGTTGGAGCCGGGGCCATGGATAAGCCGAGATGAATATGGCAACATGGAGATTATTAATTTGTGTAATAGAGAACAGAGTGTTAGAATTATAATTGATCGGATTTATTATTCTTATTTGTATTATTATTTCTTTCCAACATATTCCTCTTTTTCTGAAAATCACAATACATCTTCTAAAATTTTAAAATAATTTAATCTTGAAATCGATAAGAATGAATTAATTTGCAGTCAGTCTGGATTTGCAGTGATTGAATTTAAAACAGGACCGCCTATATTAATCGGACCTTTTAAACCAGTAAATATTTCCATAACAAAATATCTTGATATAATTCACAGTGAAGATCAATGTATTTGTGATTTAAACAAAACAATTAAAGGAAAAGAGCACACTATAAAGGAGATTTATATATTTACAAAATACAGTCCGTGTTTAGTCAGAAAAAAACATGATCCTTGTATGATCCAGCTGGCTCGTTTCTCTGAAGAAATGTTCTATCATCATAAAATAAAGGTTTATATTTCCTTCCAGGACATTTATGGTGCAACAGGGAATAATACTAAGACAGTAGATGAACTCAAGAAACTGTGCCATGAACCAGATACTTTAATTAAACATAGATTATCAAGATTGAAGAATAAAGTTAACGAAAAACACTGTAGATCTAAATTTAAATATTTAAAAGGAGGCGATGATGAAACATTAAAAAACAACAGTTCAATAATCAAAAACTATATCCCAACAGAAATTAAGAAAATAACAGATGAAAAAAGTAGGAAGTTCATCTCTTCTCTACATAAAGTTAAAATTGAATTTCCCAGTGATGAAATGACATTAGATGAGTTCGAGAACTTTGGAAAAGAACAGGCTGATAAAATGAAGCTAGAACTGAACGTTAGTGAGGAAATTAGTTAAAGAGTTTATTCACTTTTTTCTTCGAAGTGGTGTGATCTTGTTAATGAAAGATATGAAGAGTTTATATATGAGAAGCTCGGTGAATGCATTAATACATTTGCTGTTAGATTTGCTGTTCAAGATATGAAGGCCATCACAAAACATTTTAATCTGATAAGAGTAAATTTATCTTTACATTTAGAATAATTACAGTGCATGTGATGTCTTTTTTAATTCAGTCTTTCTCTCTTTGGGTTAGGGTTTTCCGTGTGTAGTGTTGTGTTGTGTAAAGGCTCTATAGTGTCTCATTGATTTATATTTGTGAGTATTTCTCTGTTATCATCTCCATAAATGCATCTGAGAGATGATGAGCATCAATCCATCTACAGACTCGAGACACTGTCAGAATGCTGATTCTCCACGTTAACGCCTGTTAAAACACCTGTTCAATGCCAACAAACACACAACTATATCCATTCAGTAAATCAGTTTGCTTTCACTTTGTCCACTGCTTTCTGTTGTTTCTGTAGGAGAGTGTATTTCAGCTCTCTTAACTTCAGCTCTCTATATATATACTCTTTTTAACCTAGACTAAGAAGATTGTGTTAGTTAATAATTATAATAATTAAAAATAATATGCCCAGTCTTTGACCACAGAGCTCTTAAGGCTGTTGGTGATTGTTTGAGATTGTTGTAACTCTAAATGAATGTCGTTGTTATTGAATGATCTTTCCGATTCTGGCTCTGATGAGTTTAAGAAAACCACTGTAAATCACACAGTCGATTCTGAAGAGAAATAAACAATCAGCCATTAAAAGTGCATGTGTTGGTGAAATCATCAGAGAAAAGATTCATCAGTGCTCAGAGATATTCAATCTCTACATTCATTTATATGTTGGATCTATTGTGTGATTTATTAAAAGAATAGCATTAATTTAATATCATTTATTTATTTACAAGGAGTAATTTCAGTATTGTTTGAAGTGTAAAGAGCACATCAACCAGCAAAATACCAGCTATATAATAAATATAAAGTATAAAATATTTTAGGCAAGCAACTATTTATTTATTTATTTAGATCATCTACCTAAAATTGATAAAATCTTGGACCCAAGAGACCCTGCTTTAACACTATTTATTATAATAAAGTAGTATACAGTTTTAATGTATTAGGACAAATGTGTAAATGTTAATAACATGATTAAATATAATACATCTGTGTATTTATATGTAAACAAAATTACCTTTTTATTGTTTTGTGTGTTTTTCTCAGCTTTTCTAATAGATCTGTTTCAAGAACTACATTATGAGAGGAGATGGATGAAGATTTTATTCTAAATATTACTGATTTAGGAATCCTTAATAAAGACTACTGTAATTGAAAATAATCCTTTAATATTTAATATATGCAATCATTGATGAACTGTCCAGAATCAAGATTTAAAGATATAAATTACAAATATATCTCAATAAAACAATTATCTTGATAAAAAACAAGGATTTAATTTTAACAATCAGCTTGCTTTAATTTTTTTTTTTAGAAAAAAATGATGATAATAATAATAATAATTCAATAATAAATAATTAAAAAATGGATCATCTGACATGGATAGATAGAGAGAAAAAGGTGTCTTTCCCTTTTTGAAAGGAAAGCATACTGAAATTAAATATTTAAACTACTACTAGAAATGTATTATGAAGATGACTGTTGTTATTCAGAAATGTATTATATCATGGCAATATTAAGTACATATTGCCATGATTTAGTTGTCCTGAATCTCCAGATTGATTAGTCGCATGACATTTTCCTCTCAGGTGAGTTTGGATCAACAAAGCCTGTGCTAAACTAAGAGCTCATTATCCTGCACCAAAACAACATGAGTTTGCTATTTCTATAAACAAGACTAAAGAGAATGCATGTGTACTGTACCTTAAAAAAAATCTATACATGTGCATGTATTTAAATTATTTCCACTCAAACAAGCACTTAAAATGAAAATCAGTGAGACAATGAAGGTAATCCACTTTAATGCGTAAAACGTATTCTTTATATATCATTGATATTTGGCATTGCAGGGATCTGCTTTCCTTTGTTTCTTTAAACCAGGGTGGAGTACAATCTGTTAGAAATCAAACTTAATATTTGCCATCATATATTTTTTTTTTGGAGTTTTGGTTTTAGACAATAATAAGAAATTTTATCATGTAAAAACATCCAAGGATATTACTGCCTACGATCTACCACATCTGCTGTTATGTAATCCTCCTAAATGAGTTTGAATTTATCTTGAGAGCAGAGGATGTCGAAATTGCTTGTGTCACAGAGACATGGGTACATGGAAATTTACCAGACGAAACCCTGGATATCAAAGGTTATGAACTCTTTAGGAAAGATAAAGTTTCAAGCTCAAAACTGACAGGGGGTGGCCTAGCTATTTATGTATCCAGTAATCTCTACAACAGAAGATGTGTCGAATTGGAGATTGAAAATATAGAATGTATGTGGATACAACTAAGACCAAGGTTACTTCCCAGAACAGTCTCATCCCTTGTCATTGGATTATTCTATCAGCTACCTCGGGCAAACGAGAAAGAACTGCGTCAAGAAGCTACAGATTATCTTATCAGCACTATAGATGCAGTAAAGATGAAATCACCTGAAGACGGCATAATCCTTTGCGGAGACTTTAACCAACTACCTATCAAGTCTATGATTAGCTGTCATCCAGACCTTAAGCAGCTTGTTAAGGAAAACACCAGAGGAAAGTCAACCTTAGACTTGATCATAACGAATCTTGATACCAACTATAGTGCTCCAAGCGTGCTTGCTCCAGATGGTTCAAGTGATTACTGCACAGTGTTGATGGTTCCATTGGTAAAAAAACAGCATTACGAAGAGGGAATATAGAGTGGGTCGACGTGTTACCAAAGAAGGAAGAGAAGCCCTTGCTCAGTGTATGGCCATTACAGATTGGTCCCCTGTGTATGAAGCTGAGGATATTGAGAAAAAAGTGGATATTTTTAATACTTATATTCAGACAGCTCTACAAAAATGCATGCCACTGCAAAGGAAAGCTATAACATATGACAAACCTTGGATGACTGAAGAAATCAAACGTGCTACAAAAAGTCGGCTGAAAATTTACCAAAAACATGGGAAAACTAAAAATTGGAAGAAGGCAAGGAATATTGTCCAATGGCAGATCAATCAAGCAAAAAAGAAATATTACGCAAATAAAATCCAAAATCTGAAGAGTAAAAAGTCAAAGACAGTGGTGGGATGACATCACCAATGAGCTTGGGCGATCTAAAACTAATGGAACTGAGATAAAACTTTATAATGTGAATGGAGATCATGTAGCAGAGGTCTTAAACAGTTTTTTTTTGCAGAGGCTTGGACTAGTGATAAGATGTGTGTGATTTTTCCTTGGGCCAAACCAACAAAAACGCATGAATTCTGTAGTATAGGACAGTTAAAACAAGCCCTGCTAAGATTAGATACACGGAAAGCAAGTGGCCCTGATGATATACCTCCTTGGCTTCTCAAGAATCACGCAGAAGACCTGGCACCAGTTATAGCACATA